TGTGACTTTTGTTGTGCCTTAATAAGGCTAATGTTTTTGAACTTCATTTCCAATGGTACAAGCAGATGAAAATGTTAACAATTCTTCCTTAATAGGAAGCCAGTCCATTGCAGGTTAACCTCCAGCTAACAACTAGGTACCCATCATACAGATGCCAGTCCATTGCAGGTTAACCTCCAGCTAACAACTAGGTACTCATCATACAGATGCCAGTCCATTGCAGGTTAACCTCCAGCTAACAACTAGGTACCCATCATACAGATGCCAGTCCATTGCAGGTTAACCTCCAGCTAAAAACTAGGTACCCATCATACGGATGCCAGTCCATTGCAGGTTAACCTCCAGCTAACAACTAGGTATCCAATCATACATCTGAGTAAACTGGAATAAGTGAGGTAAAGTGTCTTGCTTGAGGACACAACAATATGATCCAGGCCAGCCTTGAACTCGCAACCACCCGACTACAAGTCCAAGGTGCAAAGTTGCTCACCTAGGCTGCTACACTTATATAACATTTACCAATCACAAAATAAGAGAATTTGTTTTGTTTGTCAAATAAATATGCCCAAGTTAGACATAAATAAAATTCAGTGTCAGAGCACAGAAGGATATCTGATAAATGTTGATTCAGAGTACTTTTAAAATCCAAGGATATCTAATAAACATTAATTCAAAGTACTTTTAAAATCAAGGATATCTGATAAATGTGGATTCAAAGTACTTTTAAAATCCAAGGATATCTGATAAATGTGGATTCAAAGTACTTTTAAAATCCAAGGATATCTGATAAATGTTGATTCAGAGTACTTTTAAAATCCAAGGATATCTAATAAATGTTGATTCAGAGTACTTTTAAAATCCAAGGATATCTGATAAATGTGGATTCAAAGTACTTTTAAAATCCAACTAGTTCTTCTGTATGGATCTTACCTTGAGGGGCAGGAGCAGATGCTACAGTCTGTAACGGAACTGCTAGTGGTGTTGTAACAACACTTCTTAAAATATTTGGTGTCTGACGAGAAATAACACGTGCAGGATGAGTGTCAACTACAGAAATGGCATGAGGAGCTACTGATGCCAGGTTTGCTTTAGCTGCTTCTTCTTTCAACCGGATTTTCTCAGCGTAATGGTTGTACAGATAATCACAGTTCTCTGGAAATAAACAGTTTCACATGGTAGAAACCTATAATCACATAACTTCAATGTCTAACTTATTTGATTTTGTAATTGTAATTCACAAAGCAAGCAGAAATGTCTCTTTTCATCACGATTTTCTTTAATAGTGTTGAAAAACTTAAGCATCATTCAAAGCTTAACCAACAGGAACATTGTGATTATTACTCTGTGTAATAGACAAACAAGTATGGCCTTCCAAAAAAACTGAGGCCATATGAAATTCCAACCTGACGGGTTGAAAAAAACTGAAATTTATTGTCACACCTCAGGAAACTTTAAAGGATGGTGTTTCCTGATGCGAATCTTGTTGTCACCTGTAACACTCACGGAAACTGCTGAAAATGGTGTTTCCTGATGCAAATCTTGTTGTCACCTGTAACACTCAAGGAAACTGCCAAGAATGGTGTTTCCTGATTTGAATCTTGTTGTCACCTGTAACACTCACGGAAACTGCTGAGGATGGTGTTTCCTGATGCGAATCTTGTTGTCACCCATCAGGACTGAAGAAACTGCTGAGGATGGTGTTTCCTGATGTTAATCTTGTTGTCACCTGTAACACTCAAGGAAACTGCCAAGAATGGTGTTTCCTCAAAACTTCTATCCTGGACATGAACAATGGCTAGTTTAAAATAAAGTCAAGTACTTTCCTTTAAGTATGTATGTAACTCTACGTAGTGTGTTTGTCTGAACAGTTAAATCATAATTACCCTGTTAACCAATTAAACCAACAACCACTAATACCTACCAGGGAAAGGAAGCTTATTGGCATCAGGAACGTGTCTTTTGAGAGCCCACCATTTACCTCTCAACCACTGAGGAGATCGAACACTAAAGACAAAAAAACAGGAACCAGATAAAACCTAGGGCACCAAGAAACACAAATAACATTATCTTACAAATTATCTTGTGATATTGTATAAACAAATCTTCTGGTCATTTCTATGGTTTATTATTAAAAAGTCAATCATACCTCCTGAACTACAAATTGTTGATAATTTTATACTTGAATATTTGTTTTAAGATTGATAGATGTAGCTTTCTAAAATGTTAGCTTATCAGATAAAGTCTGTTGAACAAATTTCACGCAAAGCTACTCGAGGGCTATCTGTACTAGCCATCCCTAATTTTGAGGTGGTAAACTAGAGGGAATGCAGCTAGTCAACATCACCCACTGCCAACTCTTGTCAGAGTAAATAGTGGGATTTGACACTCACTCTTATAATGTACCACTGGAGCCAAAGTGCAGAGCACAATTTTCTTATTTTTGGATGTAACGTATCTTCAGACTGACAGTCTGGCATGATAACAAATGGCCTACATTCAGCCCTTTAAATAAAAGATGATAACAAATGGCCTACATTCAGCCCTTTTAATAAAAGCATGCTGTAACTTTACCTCAATACAAGAGACACATTTTCTTATTTTTGGATGTAATGAATCATCAGACTGACAGACTGGCATGATAACAAATGGCCTACATTCAGCCCTTTAAATAAAAGATGATAACAAATGGCCTACATTCAGCC